ACCTTGAGCTTTATATACACAACCAGCTTGGTCAAGTGCTCCAAGTGAGATTAGATTTCTTTTCATTTCTGGGACATGCCTCACTCCACCTAGAACTTTTGAAGATCCATCCTACATTTTTATCTTGATAGAACCAACACCAATCACTTCACATGCGTTGTCATTTGCCAATAACACTTTGCTATCATCAGCTGGTTTGTAATCAATGAAAAGTGTTAGATTTATATATTGTATTAGCGATTCTATGAACAAAAGGACCAACTTAGACAATTATAAAAGTTTAGGGACTGAATTGTAAAGTTTCATAGTTGGTAGATTAGCTTAGGGTTCGGGAATTCATGTTTGGAACACGAAGGATTCACGCGGATTTTTCGCTAGCTGCTCGTCGGAATGATGCTCGAGCGGATGAAACATAGATACCATCGCTCGACCTTCGCCCACATGTCGCTCGAGCGACATGCTCTTCCCTTGAGCGAAGTATTCTCCTCGCTCGAGTAGTCATGTTTTTTGGCCAGACCTAATTTCGATTTTTGAGACTTTTTCTTGGCCCATTCAACCTAATTCGTCCAACATATAAATAAAGGCGTTGCGTTTCTGCGAACAAGTGATTGAACACATTCTATTCAAGAGAGAATTCATCCTACATAAGAAAAAAAGTTCAATCCTTCAATTCATATGAGCTCTACTCATTGAAAACATCAAAACCATCAAATCAAACACTGAATTAGATTCTTCGCTCAGGTCTGCTGTAAGATTGTTTCATCAACTTGACTGCGTCGAAGATCAATGAAGAATTTAAAGAACGAGAAGTTCTTGGGGAAGATCGATAGGAGATAAAATGTGTAAAGAGTCAGGATTGGAGTTCGTGTGCTCATTCCAGGAAGGCTGCTCTACTAAGAAGAGCCAGGATTGGTGATGGTGTGCACATTCCAGGAGAGCTGCTTCAAATTTCAGACATGAGATCAGAAAGCTTGTGCGTCAACTTTGCTGGTAGTCTGTAAGTTTTATCTCCAGTTTAAATGGATTTTTTACTGGCTAAGTGCCCGGAGTTTTTCCCATGTTGGGTTTCT